TTTAGGTCTGACTGTTTTCTCATACAGCGTGGCCCTGGTTGTAGTGAAAGGTAGGCTTTCTCAGAATAGCAGCCTGCTGGGTAGGGGTTGGGGTTAGGTCAGCTTGTCTTTAGTCTGACTTGTAGAATGCCAGAATGAGAGAGGTCCTCAGCTTGCAAAGAGGGAACATTTCTTCTGAATGAAAACCAGATCATCTGTCTCCCTGGGTCTCTCCTGAGAAGAGGGGATTAATTGCAAGTGGATAGGTAGCAACATTTTATTTTTGGAATTCTACTCCAAACACCTCCTGTGGCTCCCACCTGCCACTGAACGGCTCAGACGTGAGGCCCTTGGATTTGTGGCCCAGACTTCCTGCCCTCACTGCTCATGAGTCTTCTGTGCCCCACTCACCCCGGCCCGGTCAGGCTCCTCGCCGTCCAGCAAACATGCCCCCTACTTTCTAACCTCCACTTCTTCGCCCGTGCATGCCCTCCAGCCGGATTCCGCCCTTCCATTGCTAACAGTCAAAACCCTGTCCTTGCATGCAGCTCTACGGACTCTGCTTCTACAGGGATTCCTCCCTGACCATTTCAGGTGGAGTCTCTTCGGCTCCTGTAAATAAATACCTGTGGAGCTTGTCCATACAGCTTTCAAGGCACTCGTGTTAGTGCCGTGTGTCTTTCCCTTTCTTAGATATTAATACTCGTATCCTGTCCACGGTCTTTGTTGAGACCAGGGGCTATCTTATTTACTTTTGTTTCCCCACAATTCTTTGGACAGAGTAGGTCCTCAGTTCATCAATGAAGTTACCCTTATTTGTGGAATGAAAGAATAAATACATCAAAACCATCCAGCTTATGTCCTCAGAATTCATGAAAAAAGTACATTTATCCAACTGTCCAAACTCCTTTGTTTCAAGTAACTTTCACTTTGGCTAGCTAAGTCCTACCTGGCCCTCTTTGAAGTGTAACCTTGAAGGCAGCCTTAAAGAGAATGCTTCGCTGGGAACGTGCGTGTGCAGGTATGTGTGAGTGTAGGGAGGATGTTAGAATAATCTACTTAGCAGATGAGCAAACTTTTGGAATTATACAGAATCATTTAAACCCCCAATGAGATGATTCCAGCGCCTTGGTGGGGCTAGCTGAGAGGAGGGCCTGGCGGAAGCCGTCCTGAAATTGGCAGCAGAATCTGGCCTGTGAGAGCCCTCGGGCCCCGAATAACACCAGTGACCTCCTCGGGTTTCCTCTCAGCATTGCCGTGTGAGAGGGCACAGCCCTTTTCCCATTACTGTGAAGACACTAGCCAGCTCGGCTAGGGACGCACGTGTCCTCTGAGCACGCACTTGAACAGGTCTTTCTTCTTGGGCAGAACACAGTTGGCTTGCTTCACCGCCTCCCTTCCCACCTTCCAAAGGGTGCCGGGCATGCTAAATAGTGATGACACAAAATATTAAAATTCTGTTTGTGTGTGTGAGTCTGTGGCTGTTTGAACACTAATCGATTCTTCCAGGGGAACATTAAGTAAAAGCACACAGACACCAGGAGCAGTTATTTAGAGGAGCCGGTCAAAATCCATTTCCAGTGTATTAGTTACTGTGATTTCCACACCCATTCTGCCTGCCCCTCCACCCACTCTCCGCCGCCTCTGCTGCCCTGCTCCTCGCCAGCCCCTTTGCCTCCTGTAGCAAAGGGACACCTGCAAGAAAAGTAGCAAGAGAGAGAGAGTTGCTGAAGGAAAATAAGCACCGCTTTTACAGACAAACCTTTAAGTCTGTGAAATTAAAGAAACTTAAAATTACCTCTGGACTAAAATTCCAAATGTGCTTTTTTGCATAATATTAAGTGATTGCTATTTTCGTAAGAGTTGCTGTCTTTTGAGAAGCATTTTTGGAATGCTTCTTGTTGCTAAAGGTCTTGTGGCATTTGTTTTTATTATAGAATGCCACTATTAATTAAGAACATTTTTCCCCCCTGAAGAACACTGGATTTCTACATGGGCATATGACCTCCTGTTAATGAGGAAGCTCTCTAAATTCTGTTTTCAGCAATAGCCAGTTGAATTGGCTCAGGTGTTAATAGGTTGCCTCTGCAGGTCTCACAGTTTTATTAGAAGATTCCCATCCATTTCCTGTTGTCCCAAACATGGCCATTGCAAATATCATATTGTAACCTTTCTCTAAAAATAATTTATCCGTACTAGCAGTCCTTTACTGAGAGGGTCTAACTTCGTGCCAGACACAAAGCTAGGTGCTTAATGTAGATTAGTTCAGTGCATCCTCCCCACAACAGAATAGCAGGTTATTCGGTTAGTTTTCCCTGGGAAGTTTCACTTCCCAGGAAGTGAAACCTAGGTTTTTCCAACTGTGGAAGCAAAATACCCCGAGTCATTAAACTAGACTACCTGTCACATTGATGAGCACTTGTTCATTCATCCACTCATTTCACGGATGTTTGTTGAAGGCCTAAGGTAAGCCAGGCAATGGCCTAGGAGAGCACAGTGATGGACCAAAACAGGCGTGTCCCTGCCTTCAGGAAACTCACAGTCTGTCGCAGGGAGAGAACAGCTAGATCCGGTTGGGTTCTGCAGGCTGACAAGATGGGGTTTAGGGCAAGTCTGTTCTGCTCTGTTAGCCTCAGATTTCATATCTGTAAAATGCGGCAGCTGGATTTAGACAAGTGTTTTTCTACCTTTATTGTGAATCAAATCATATGGGGAATAGGTTTTAAAACACATCATTCTGGCCTCCTATCTCCAGATAATTTGACTTAATTGGTTCAGTGTGGGGCCCAGGAATTTACATCTATAGTGAGGGCCCGGGTCTCCCCAGAGCCACCCTTCGAGGGGAACTGATCTGGCTGTAACCCCCACTAGCACCTGCACAGGGTCTGTGCTGTCCCCCCTGTACCCGCAGGGGGTGCAGGTGCTGCTCTTTCAGGGGCCACACTTTGCAAACCACCTCAGATTGGCACCTTCCACCAAGGCAGTCTCCGTTTGCAGAGCCTCTGTAGTTCCGCCAGTGACTCCCAGTAACCGAAGCTCCCAATCTTTGGGTAGCAGAAAAGGGAAAAGGCCCTGGGCAGGAGGGCCGGAGAAAAGATTGCTGAACAGCTGGTGATCAGTCAGTCCTGACATCGAAACATGTTTCCTTGGGCAGGTCCCTGACCCACCCAAGGCTCAGTTTCCCTGACTGTGAAACAGGGAAAGGGTCCTAGCTCCGTTCCCCAGCATGCTTACATGCATTTGTTCACTTGTTTAGAGATTCGATTGTCATTCTGTTTTTAGCAGAGGACCTTTTCAAAAATGAAATCCCACCCAGAACCCTAGTCCAGAAAACAGACAGATGCATTGCTGGTCCGATGGAAGGGGGGTCCAGCTCTGACTCTGAGCACCCTCTTCCCCGGGCAGCACGGCAGAGCCTCCTGTGGAAACGTAGCTGAGCCCAGTTGGAATCCACCGAAGAAGGAGCTTCCAGCTCGGCCTGCTTTCTGGGGACACTGGGAACTGTTTGCGGGCCCTCGGCCTTTGTTTTCAGTTTTCTTTCCGTCTCCGATCAAGACACCCTGCACACCGACTTTCAGGATTTTCTTCTTGCCACTCGGAGAAGAGCCACAAAGGGCTGTTATTATCACCGGAGCTGTCGTAAGGACACTGTGCTGTTGTGAAGTCTGCAAACTTGAGAATCAGCCAGAGACTTAACACATAGGCGTGTGGATGATTTTATCCCGGTGGTTTCTTTCTCTCTCTAATGTTCAAGCACGTCACACATTCAGGGTCTTTGTAGTTAATTACATAGGAAATAGGGCTGCTGGGTTCTGCGTGCCACCGTGGCAAGAACAGGTCTGCGGGATCTTTAGTTGGCAAGGCGATGTGCAAAGCCATTCTCACCCACAGGAACGAGGGAGATGCCTAAACGGTGTTACCTTGGGAGGTTCTGACTGAGTCTTCAGATTGACTGTGGGTGTGGGAGAGCATCTGGTACCTTCAGACAACCCCAGACACTGGAATGCAGCCTCGTTAACTTAGCGAAACTGGTTCCAAATGGGCCCACCAGGATGGGCTCACCTCCCCAGATACGCAATGAACACCTTCAGAGCCAGGCCCTGGGGGCTGCTCTCTTGGGGCTGTTGCTTTTCCCCCCAGCCATCCAGTTGCTTGTTCATACATTCCACACACAATTGCCAAACGTCCACCCTCTTTGAGATCGGCGCCCTTGGGAGCCGTAGAGATGGCCAAAGCTAAGCCTGGTTCTGCCGCTTTATCAGACCTGGAAGTCTGTGCCCAGGCCGTTTGTCCTGCCTGCCTCTCACGTCCTCTCCTCTGAAGCTCATCCCACATGCCTTCCCGCCCACGAAACTTCCTCCAGTTTTCCCAGGTGGATGTGAACTCCTGTAGCCATTTCTGATGGTCACTTCCCTGCCCCATCCCATGGCTGTCGAGCACCCGAAGGGGCTCGGGATCAAAATGAACACAAGTATAAAATACACACTGAATTTTGAAGACTTAGTAAAAAAAAAAGAAAGAAAAGAAAGAAGTATGTCAATGAGTTTTTATATTGCGTGGTGAAATATTTTACATAGAGTATATTGGGTTAAATAAAATATGTGAGCAAAACTGACTTCATCTCTCTTTCTTCCCAGTGTGAACACTGGAAAACGTGAAGTTACAGATGCGCTCACATCTGTGGCTCGCCTTCTTGTGTTTCTGTTGGGCAGTGCCACACCTCCTGCTTTTTCTCTCGAGTGAAGAGAATGTTTATCCATCTGTTCTTTTTATTTCCTTCTGCTGGTTTTTAAGTTCCAAGGGGGTGGACAGCATGTGCCTGTCATCTCCCTGACCTTTGCATGCCTGGGGGGCACATGGCAGGCGCTAACGGACTTCTGTCAAGGGAACTAATAAGTGAACACGTGACAGACATTCAGTCAACAGCGAAAGCCCCCGTAGACAGCATCATTTCTGGGTCTCTGTGATTAAACTTACTTTCCCTTTTCTTTTTCACACTTTTTTGTCTTTTTTTTTCTAAGGGATCACACAATCAGCAGAAGAAGATATTTTTCTTGGGCGATGGGCAGAAGCTGAAGGACTGGCATGACAAAGAAGCCATCAGAAGGGATGCTCAGCGTGTAGGTACGTCCACGGGCAGGTCCCATGCGGAGGGCTCACATATGTGTGTGTGCATGCGTGTGCATTTAATGGGGCATCGGACCGCCTTCTGTTGGCTGGTCTCCCCCTGCCACCATGCTTTCTAACTCTGGAACCCCCCGCTTCACCTGTTCGCTGACCCCTCCCTTCCTCCGCTCACATCACCAGAGCTGCTGCCTTCAGGAATTTGCCCTGCCTCCTTTAATGGGCGATAGAAGATGTCTCCCCCTTAGGAAGTATTTCACCACTAAAATGAGGAGCAGCAAGAGTGGGGGCCAACATTCATGAATAGCACCGTGAGCACCACCCATGCTGCACGCTGCACGTTTTCACAGCAAACCCCTGAATCGATCTCTATGGCCCATGTGGTGAGAAGGGGCCTGTCGTTCAGATGGGTGGGCTAATCTGCCCACAGCCACACAGTGAGAAAGAGAAAGGCTTGGAATCCGAACCCAGGTCTGGAGGGCAGAGTGGGTCCGTACGCAGCACTACGGTCACAAGGGTGAACGAATTCAGTGGGCTTCAGCTAATGTCTTCTTTGGCTAATTAGTCTGTGGAGCAGTTTCTATTACACTGGGGCGCTGGGAAGGGAAGTTTTGTGGGGAGTCATCTGTAGAGAGCCTGGGCTAGGAGTTCAGGACAGCAGCCCTAACACCTCTTGTCCGCTGCGTGACCATCACCTAAGTCCCATAATCCTTGAACCTCAGTTTCCCCATCTGTCAGTGGGGCTCACGCTTCCTGGTTTGAAAACCTCATGGTGTTGATATGAAGTAGCTTTACACTGGAAAGCACTGTAGAAATACAAGGGATTAGTATTCATTTTTATCTCAGTAAAGGCACCACTATTGATTTTTTTTAAATTACATTATAACAAAATGAGATTACAACAAGTCTTTGAATTGAGCTGAAATGATAACTTAACTGAGGTTCAGGGAAATCTGAAGACCTGACATGCATTTTTCCGTATGTCAGTAATTTAAAATGAAGGGTGGGGGGTGCTTAAATTAAAAAAGGAAACATTTGAAAAGAGCTGATTTGCCAGACCATTATGCTGGGATTATTAGAACATTGGCCTAACTAGCAAGGAAAGAGTAAGCGGAGGAGAAATCACTCAGAATAATAATGATCCCGGCTGACCATGTACCAGGCACCTTGGCCTGCATTACCTCCTTAATTATCACGCTGAAGGTCCTTATCCCAGTTAATGCAAGGGCAAGAACCAAGACAGAGACAGACTGCCCAAGGCATGCCCAAGATGCCCAAGCAGGGGAGTAGCAGGAGTGGACCACAAAGTCCACGCCGCCCGGCTCCAGGGCCCGAATCCTTGCTCCCCTGCACCGCCTTCCTGAGGCTGCCGGCCCGGAGGGAGATGCTCGTGCTGCATTGTTGTCCCTTGTGGAATCTGTCCTGTCCTCAGGCTATACCTTCCCATCAGGCTGGTGTTGCCACAGTTTACTTTACAGACTGAATGGAGCGACTGACGCGCAGACCACAGGCTCCAGAAGATGAGGTCATTTCTGACCTATGATTCTATTGACATTTCTTCAGGTCCCTCGCCACTGGCAGACTCCTGGGCTGTTACTGCAGGGCTTGGTGTGGACATTCCCACTCACCATCTGCACCCGGGAACCCAGGGAAAAATTTCCCGGAGCATCAGGAACTCTTTCCCCAGCTGGATTATGCAGAGAAGAGAGAGGACAGCACTTTATCCAACGGACTCTGTGCCTCCAAGCAGCCCTGGCTGAGGCCAAGCAGATCTTAATTCATTTTCTGGTTTTAAAAAAATCAAAGCATCTTTTATCATTGGTGGCTGTTTCGATTCATGTGTAAAGTTTACTCTGCTTTGAGAGTAATCACGGTATTTCCTTTATATTACCTTTATGTAGTTACAAAAAGCTGTCATCTACACAGCTTCTCACTTGACTCTCTCGGCATTCCGTGGATACCAGAAGGGAGCAGCCGTAGCTCAGAGAGGCTATGTGACTGGCCTGGGGTTGATCAGCTCGTGTGTGGTAGACCTGGTCTCCCAGGCAGACGTGTTTAGGGCTCCTGGCAGAGTGGAGGGGTCATGGGCTTTGGGACCCGCAGACCTGGTTTTATAACCTTTCTTAGTCCCGTTTATCCTGCTACAGGTCGAAGGCTCTCACGTCCACCCCGCCTGCTTCCTGTGGTGGTTCCACGGGGACAAGGTTTATGAAGTGTGTGACTCGGCTGTGACTGAATGCTCATTCCCCTTGCCCTCCGCACACTTCCCCCTGCAAAATCTGGTCGTACACTCTGTATCAAGCCTGAAGTTTTACCTCTGTGGTTGATCATACTTGTCATCCTTCTTCCCCCACTCCATTCGGTTAGCAGCGCTGACTTTGCTCTTTGCCCCTAGGAAATGGAGAACAAGGGAGGCCCTACCCCATGACCGATGCTGAGCGAGTGGATCAGGCGTACCGGGAAAATGGGTTTAACATCTACGTCAGCGATAAGATCTCCCTGAATCGCTCTCTCCCTGATATTCGGCACCCAAAGTAAGTGTAACGTCGCTCATCCTCTGGGATGTAAGGATTGTGCCCTTGGCCCTTGTTGAGACTTCATTCAAGAAACAGGTACAGGAAGGGCTGCCGGGGGAGAGGCCCTCCTGTTACCCGGGGCCTCTGTGCAAGGGATCGTGCGATCAGATGCTTCTGGAGTGTAGAGCTGGAGTGCCAGAGGGACGTGAGGCCTCCCCGAAAGAGCCAGTCACCCTCCTCTGTTCAGACAGTGGGGACACGGAACTCCCTCCATTTCCTTTTTGCTCTGCGCCCCCTCCCCCCACGCTGGGAAGTTCACACCTCAATTTAGAAGACAGTTGCAGTGGCACTTTCAGCCCTCACTCCCTCCGCTTTCTGTGTGTGACGTTTCTGTTTCTTTAACCTCTATGTTAGCGGTTCTCTGTGCCTGAGTATTCATGTCTTTGTTGTAAGCTGTCTCAAACCATTTGAGAGAGGGCATATTGTACTGACTAATGATAACTGTGACAGCTAACATCCTTTGAGTAGGTAGCTTGTGGTGGGCACTTTGCATCATCTCAGGTGGGCGGGTCCTAAATGCTGCCCGTTTTACAGATGAGGAAACCCAGGGTTAAAGTCCTAAGTCACATAAGGTGAATACAGATCTGAGCCAGGCATTAGGCTCCAGTTCAATCTGGACCTGAAGCCATCCTGCCTCCTGGACATGTTCAGCAGGGTTGCTGTGGCGGTCACGGTGATTTTCCAGTTGAGATATTGTCCTTAAGGCTGACGTGCATTAGCATCGTCAGTTGTTGGGACAGGGTGTTGAGCTTCACCCCTGTAACTCCCGATTCCGTAGATCTGCGCTGAAACTGAAGAGCTGGCGTCAGACATGAGCGTCCACAGGCGCTCATGCAGCTGGTCTTCGTTCACGCTTCGGGAGGCACAGCGGGTGGATTTCCAAGTGTCTGCACCCAGAGGCAGCACAGAGCAGCGCTGGAGCACGAAGCGTTCAGTTAAGGGGCTAAAATGTAGAGCCCAGGGAAAGATAACAGCTAACATGTATTAGGTGCTTCCTGTATGCCAGGCCTTATTCTAAGCCAGTGGTTCTCAAAGCATGGCTCCTGAACCAGGCACACCAGCATCACCTAGGAGCTTGTTAGCATGCAGGTTCTCAGATCCCAGTCCAGATCCGCTGAACCTAGAACTCCGGGATGGGGCGCAGCACTCTGTGTTCTAACAAGCCCTCCCTCCAGATGATTCTGATGCCCACTGAAGTTTTATATTCTGGAAACGTTCGGCACATGAGCTCAGCCAAACTTTCCAAAAACTCGATGAGGGAGGTACCTTCATTATCACTGTTTTACAGATGGGGAAGAGGCACAAGAAGGTTAAATAATTTGCACAAAATGACACAGCCGGTAAGGGGTGGCACCAGAATTTGCAGGCAGAAATTCTGACTCTAGAATCTATGATCTTAATCACTGAACCATAAGGCCTTACCACCTATAAGAGCTCAATTGGTAGAATGAAGTAATCAAGAGTTAATCTCAGTAGTGTGTTTGACTATTCCCAGAATGCTTTCAGCCCCATTACATCTGTCAGTTCCTGCAGCAGCTCTCTGAGTCGGCAGTACTGTTACCACCTCCACTTGGTAGGTGAGCAAACCACACAGCTGCAGGGCGCACGGCTGGCCCAGGGCTGGTGCTGTCCATGAGGGTTTCTTGCAGGGAGAGGTGGGAGCAGGGGGACCTCAGTGTGCTTGCCTGTGGGGTTTACAGTGTGCTCCCTGGTCTGCACCGTCAGGCCTGCGAATTTTTTCCTCTAAGTCTGAGAGTGTAGTTCAGATATTACAGATGTTTCTGGATTCGGAGCTGCGACCTGACGCTGAGGGTCAGAAACTCAATTTATGCGCTCAGCCCCTTGCAGAGTTCAGCATTCTGCACTCGTGTCACCTCTGGGTCTGGGAGAGAGGCTCATCCGGGACCTGTACACCCTCCCCGCAGCATTCCGTGGTGCAGTGGGCTCTCAACTCAGGCTGCCTGGGGTGCTTTTAAAAACCTGCAAAGGCCAGGACACCACCCCAGGCCCCTAGACTCTCAATCTCTGGGGGCGGGGCCTGGGTCTTGGTGTTTTCTAAAATTCTTAAAACAATTCTCACGTGTGACCAGGGTTGGAACTGCTGCTATGAAATAAGAATATTTTTACAATGAGAGAGAGAAGCTGAGTGTGGGCACAGCTCTTTCCCCGACCCATCCGCCTGTTCATTCTGTTCATTCACTAAACGCAGGGCGGGGCAAACATAGGTTCACAGTTATTCGTGTGGAAAATCATGCAGTATTAGTAAGTAATAGTACAAGAATGACTCTGTGTTTCATGCACTCATACCATAAAGCTACTTTTGCCCCACCCTGTATGTAAATAATGGTCTTGCACAGGCCAAGCCCTGGGCTGGACACCGAGAACACAGTGGTAAGTGAGCCGTAATTACTGCTTCATGCAAGGGGTGGGACAGAGGCGTGAGGAGCCAGTAGGCTGCTGTGAGACCAGTCTCGGTGGTAGGCAGAGCGTGCTTGGGACCTCGGGACACACCCACCAGCCTTTGCAGGAAGACACTGCAGGCAGGGAACTGCCTGGGGAAAGGCCTCGGGCAAGTCAGTGTGCGTTCTTCTTCGTTGTTTGGATTACCAGGGTGCGTCCTCAGCTGGTTGGAAGTGGAGCCAGGATGGGGACCTGGCCCCCAAGCTCCCCAGGCAGTGCTCCTGCCGTGGTTGGGTGTGCAGCTGAGGAAAGGAAAGGTCTTCTCAATCTAGGAGTCCTGCGGTCCCTGGGGAAAACTCAGGAGGATTTATAAACTTGGAGGAGAAAAACGCTGCTTTTTTATTTGAACCTCTAAATGGATTTGGTGGTCCCCGCAGTGGTGGCTGTAGGCGACAGAGCATCTGCGATACAGTCACCAAAAGAAATCATATACTTTCCCATCGCTGTACAGGCATCTCAAAATGTCCTGGACACCCATCACTCCTTTGAAACGAAGGCAGTTTTTAGAACTGCCACTAGATCTTGTGGTTTAATGTGTTCCTGAAGAAGCCCATTTATTACTGTATTATAAATTTTTTATTATTTCCGTAACTATATTTCAGTCTAATTGGTTTCCTTTATAATCTTGTCTATTTTATTTTATGAATTATCAGCACTGTTCTCAGAAGCATCCATATATTTTACCAGCCTGGCGGAGGGGTCCAGGACATCGATAAGGCAAGGGACCCCTGCTCCGGCTGGATGGGAATCGAGCCCAAGCTCGCCGCAGGCCCCCTGTTAGCAGCCCACCCACGCAGCCAGCATCCAAGTTACAGCAAAAGATGTTGCCAAACCCAGTGCTCCTGACAACACCACCCCCCACCACCACTTTTTTAGAATCCCCAGTGGTGGAAGCTGACTTTTCAGAAATGAGTTGACAGATGTCTTGAAGAACTTTCCCTTTTTTCCAGGGGGGAGCTTTCCTGCAGCCTGACAGCAGAAATGTGGGAATAAATTAGCGCAGTTGAGCTGCTCATTCCCTCCAGTTTCTTTTAGCTTAAACAACTTCCCCAGCAGGAGCCGAGGTTCATGTTTGCCTTTGTTCCTCCGAACTGAATTTTGGCAGCAGCGTGTCAAGAACAGGGTCTAGGGGCTGTTTGTTTGTGCCAGCTGCGTTTGCTTCCACCCGAAGCCGCGCTGGGGAGTGTGCAGCCACAGAGAACTGCAGCGAGAAAGTTCGGCCTGCCTTGCTGGGCTTGCCTGTGGGAGGCGGCCAGCTGGCTCCGAGCAGGCCTGCCCTCTGCACCTCCTGCCAAGGGAGCAGAACAGAGGTTGGCTGGTGGGCTGGCCCGCTTTCCCAGCCCCCCACCGGCGGCTCTGTGGGCTGCCTGACAACCACCCGCACACACGGAGGCCCCTCTGGGGCGCAGAGCTGATGGCAGCGGAGCCCCAGCGGCTGAAGAGACCTGAGTCTGAAGGTTTCTGTGCAAAGCCCTCTGCTGGTGATCAGTTTCTGCCATGTAAAGACTGTCCCCAGGGAGAGTGAAAATAGACACAACCCCGACTGCTTCCCCCAGCCCATGGGGCTAGCTTCCAGAAATGAATGAACCCAAATGGGCTCTTTGTTGCAATAAAAGGCCCAAGTCTCCCAGACTCCTGGGTCCATGTTCCGTCTTGCTTTTTCCTTTTCATTAAATTAGCATTGTTAATTTATGGTACATGCTGAATTTCCTGAAAAGAACTTGTAAGCTCATATTACTATAACATTCTATTGAGCAGCTTTACACCCCCAACAGTTTATAAAAGCAACAGTGGAGGAAGTTATAGCCTGTTAAGGTTTAGCAAACATGTACTCTGAACAAAAAAAGATAATTTGGAAGTACAGGAAGTTAAAGCCAACCACATTTGTAGTAGTTAATAATAATATTGGTACCCCGATATGAATGTAAGCATAGACGTTACAAATGCTATTTAGGGGCTAAGGTGGAATAACAGGTATCAGATTTACTCACCTGCCTGAAATAACTGAAAAAAATCAATGGACACTGGCACCAGGATGTGAAGGACAGTGATCCTAAAGAGATGGGAAGCAAATGTGGAGAGCGATACATTGTCAGTGCTTATTGCCTTGAGTTTTCAAGCCATGATGCCAGGTGCATGCATGGTGCTGGCATGACCCAGGTAGAGCCCTGAGGACTTCCTGAGTTGAGTTGATGGAGCCCAGGGTCCAGAGAGACCACAGAGGCAAAGCGTTCACAGGACGATGTACTGAAGAGGGGAGAGCTGCATGGAGACTAAGCCGCAGCAACCTGCAGACAGTTCCGTGTGTACTCAGCCAAGGACCGATGAGCTCCTGCCTGCAGGGAAGCTACCTGAGGGCGGGAGAGGGGCCATCCGCAGGGATTCGGGGGAAACTGCCAAGCTCTCACGCAGGCCAGGGATCGTGCCTCTTCCCACCACTCAGACTGAAAACCTCGTCATTCGTCACTCGTGGAGGATTGGGTTGAGTCCTTAGAAGA